ATGAAAAAGAAAAACACATTGAAAGGCATCTAGGCAAGAGTTGCTAGAAGTACAGCATGCTTTCCAAATCTGACATGAACATCAGACGAAGAAAGCAAGCTGAAAATAAACACTCACTTTAGGAATAGTTCACACTATCAGCTCTAAACTGCTAAAATACTTCGCAAGTAATCAACATAACTCAAAGTTTCACGAAGTGACTTGCAATCATCCTTGCAAATATCAAATTAACTGAAGAAAAGGAATCAATGGAGTAGTTTCCTCCTAGAAAATCCGGAAAACAACGCAGGTCATTATATATATGCTGTCGATTTTGTACATAGCTTAACCTTACAAAAAGTTTTTTTTTATTTTACCGCCTTTCTTGTTTCTAAGGCATGAGAGCGACCATCATTAGTAGTAACCGGGGTTAATCGTAAAAGTGATGCCAAATGAACCTTAGTATGTCACACTGTGTCTATCTGGTTATCATTTAAGAGGAATTTATTTGACTGTCAAGTTTTTAAATTGTCAGTATTTGTATCGACCAAACCATATCTACTCTCCTGTTTTGCATCAGCGAGCCTCGATGATCACTGAAACTGTAATGTTTGAATCCTCGCGAACTATCGAAATTCCATTTGTTTAGTGTTTATGATCTGTATGTTACTTAGCAACCTTTGGGGGCACTGCTTTATGAGTCACTATCTCAATAAAAGTCCAGATATCAGAGAAGTAACACACGTCAACTATCTATCTGAAATGTTGATAACTTCGAAGGATCCTGTAGGTATTCCTATCGTTTTATATACTAGTCTTCTTTCTTGTTACTCTTGCTACTACTGCAACATTGGCTTTTCTAATATTGGTATTGTATGTTGCTTGCATATCATACCCAGTATCAACACTAGTCTGCCAAACCACGAGTATCTCAGATAGTCAAAATGATAATTTCCTTATTTGACACTAACACTGTAAGGGCTTGTTTGTATGATGTTTCAATGCTACTTGACTGATTACGAATCTCGAATTGGATTGCACTGTGAATACAACCTCCATTATCTTCATCTGTCTTCTGACTTTATATTGTCTGACATTGGTGGGTCAGTAAGTTTTGGAGCGCTAAGAAAACGTGAAAGCATTCGTGATCAAGCTCATATTCTCAACACTAATTTCACCTCTTATCCCATTCAACTTTAATTTCTTTATATTTGGCAGTATCTCTACGCTGTTATATTTTGATATTACTTCTTCATTCCATCTTATTCATATCTCGTTGAGTAAATAATTGACATTGATTAATCTTTATCTCGGTTACCCTGCAATCCGTCATACATTTACGTGAACAGCCTGAATACTTGACTGACTGGTAACTGGATAGAAACCAGTAACCAATCAATGCACCTAATCCAGTCCTACAGGAGGTCGGCCAAACGTCGCCTAAGTAGCTCAGTCGTAATGCCTATGAATACGGCACCAGATGACGCGGGCTCAAATCTCAAAGACAACATCAATATCCTGAAGGTAGCAGATAAACCTAGGCGTAGAGTCAAGACAACCATGAAACCTAGGTTCAGAGCTTCCAACCAATTAACTCCAAATACCTGTTGGGATAGCCATCTGGCTAATTTTTTTTCGATTGAGCAGCCCAGCGGAACACACTAATTGGGATCAGTAGGACGACAGTAGTTAATCCGCCTACACTTCAGAACTCTGTATCACTTCAATGATTGACCACTTCTTTTCCAATACCCTGATTGTGATCTCCCATTGCAATCCAATCTACCCTTTTCCACTCAATACATCTTCATATTTCCACTTACTCGTTATTTTGCTTTTCTAGGTCTTCATCAGTTTCCCAGGTCAGCCAAATGTCACCACCCATAAGGAGGGGTTCCAGTTAGATGCATTGCATGAAAATGGTGTACACTCCTACTTCTATACGACGATCCTAAACGGTGGTCTATGAGTCGAATGAAGTTATCTCTGTTAGACGCGTAAGTCGTCTGCGAAAACTTGGAATATCTACTTGCCTGATATTCAAGGTAGCGCTATACATGCCTGTCATAGACACCACTATCATGAGCTTTGCTAAGAGTACGAAGATCAACCACCAGGTGGTCTATACAATGGGACAGGCAAGAAAACGATTGAGAAGTGAGCTACTGAACAAGGGAGACGGAAAAGGGACGAGAGACGCCAACATGACCAAGGTGTCTTACAGGTGGCTATACAAACCTAAATGGATCTTCTCTAGAATATTCATCACAGCGATCCAACTTAAACGTTGACCTCCTAGCAAATAAGCTAAAGGGCTTCCGACGTCTCAGGCCTCCTCACGTGTGTCTTCGTAAGTGCAGTCAGCAATACGTGGAGGACGTGACTTATATACTGCAGAAGTGCCGCAAAACCCATAAGTTTGGAATAGCTCGGCATAACAGAACAGTCAGTTAGCTCATCCTGAACATTAGCAAGAAAGAGTACGATACCAAAGATCAAATACTTTGAAACCCTCTTCAAGCCGGCTGTCGCTGCTGTTAAGTACGCGACAGCTTTGATGTCAAGGCAACACTATGAGACAATCATGGCTAACCAGGATCAATAAATAAATACAATACAGGGTTTAGAAACAAACCCATATTATAATATCTTGAGCGTAACGAAGGGATTCAAGCATCTAGAAAAGTCCACTATCCCTTCATCGTGAGTGTGAAGGGCATCCTGCACGAAAAAACAGGAAGGGCTATGCGTTCAGTAATAGCCCACTCAAACTTCAGCCTCCTCACCATAATAAGCTCACTGAAGTGCTATGATGGCTTCCACCTTGAAGGTAGGTAAGTCCCTGATTTTTATTAACCCTTTTTGTTTTCCTCGGTTTCCATCTTCTCTATTTCGCAAATCGACGACCATGCCTCTAGGTAAGTTCATATTTTTACTTAACACCAATAAGTCTCTCTTTTCTACCCTTCGCATACCCAACACTCAAGAACTTGAGGTACGGTCTCTCAGACTGGATTGGTCAGTAGATACCTTGGTGACCACACCAGTAACTACTACTGAATACTGGAAGCGGTGAAGCTTGTGTCATTCCCTCCCGTCTGGGGGACAGGTCCTCGGAGGGAGTCCCCGGCTGACTCATTAACCCGGCCAATTGTTTGCTAACCACGTAGGCAAATGACTGAAATGCCTGGGTACCACCATCTTACCACCGTGAGAGGCGGACGGTGGTGTTGGCTAAGAGAAGACTAGGAGGTGTAGCTGGCCTTGGCGGCATAACCCAGGTCGGAGACTGGATGCCATCTCAGCTATAGAAGCAAGGGTAGAAAGTCAGGACTTTCGGGCCTTCTCCGTTAGTAGGAGTGCATGGTCTGAAATGTACACCGTTTTCATGCAATGCATCTAACTGGAACCCCTCCTTATGGGTGATGACATTTGGCTGACCTGGGAAACTGATGAAGACCTAGAAAAGCAAAATAACGAGTAAGTGGAAATATGAAGATGTATTGAGTGGAAAAGGGTAGATTGGATTGCAATGGGAGATCACAATCAGGGTATTGGAAAAGAAGTGGTCAATCATTGAAGTGATACAGAGTTCTGAAGTGTAGGCGGATTAACTACTGTCGTCCTACTGATCCCAATTAGCGTGTTCCGCTGGTCCACAATGAATTATGTTTTGCATTGTAATGAGGTTGTTGCTTCGATTTATGTTGTGTTGCGTAAATGCAGGTGTGCAGTGTAGAGTTTGAAGGGTGTGGTGGATGTGTGTTGGTATTCAGTGAACTTATCGGAGGTAATATAATTTTATGCGAGGTGCGCAGTGTCAAGATAAGTTTAGATGAGGGGATCGGATTGAATAGGGTCGCAATGTTAGTGCATGATGTGAGTATTTGAGGCAATACTTTTGCGAATATTGTGCGCCTAGTGAAGGTTGACCTTGAGAGACAGGTAAGGGATCGATGTCGGTGTGATGCAGGTGCAGTGAGCAAATGGTGTCACACAGCAGTCTGATCGAAGCTGCTACAGATGACAGAGCAAGCTAGAATAATTATCAGCAATGTGAATGAGTCGGATACTGTGTGGCTGATCAACAGTATAGCTGGATGAGGTTGGGTTGTCGTTGTTTTCAGTGAGAGTCGTTTTAAATCTTATGTGTGGAACTGTATATGGTGTGATGTGTTGTGTGGTAAGTTTTCGGCTTTTTTATGGGTCAGGAAATGCATGGTCAATAGCAGGAGGGCAATTGATTTTTGTGTAGAGAATCTAAGGCTGTGATGGTGATTCTTCAGTACGCGTGTGTAACTACTTCCTGTTTAATGTTAGATAGTGAACTGTTGAAATATGTCGACTTCTTCATCTATGCGGTATGTTTCATCAGCGTGAACGAATTGGTTGCTGATGAATTCTGATACAGAAACTTCACTTAGCATTTGCCAACTTGAGTCACCTGTGGCGTCGATTGGGGATAAATTCGACTCTCTAGTAATGGAAGAGTATACCGTCTTCTATTTGGTCCTGTCCCATTGTGCGGCGTAAGACAGGGTCGTTTAAAGTAAAATACACGAAGCGGTTTCAGGGTTTTGAGCATCGGTGTCTTGGTAACATTGCTCGCTTGTGGTGAAATCACAAAGTGAGGAATGTTGAGTCCAAGTGAAGGTTACTAGGCAAGACAGACAAGCAGACTGATGAGGTTGTGAACCTTCATCGTTTGAAGTGGCTTGGAGATGTATTAGGTTGTTCACTCAGATGGCTTTTGAATTCTTAGTTAGGCTGAGAAAAGATTGTCATTTAAACCTATAAACTCCCTAAGAAATAAGATTTGTAGTTTGGAAGATACTATTGATCCAATTGCGCAAATTCGTTGCAATGGTTTTGATGTCAAAATCAATTGGTTTGTACTAGCACAAAAACCTGGCTATATCAATATTGGTAGATACTGTAGGTAAAGCAATCTATATAAAAATCTGCGATTGCACACATTCACACAATTGAATGGAACAATGATAACTCTAAGATCTATTGGAGGGAGAGATTGTCAAGCGAATCACTAAGAAAACTTTTGAATTGCTGAAACCTGTAACTGTAGATGAACTAAACGTGTTTCACTAGCCGGTGTGAAGCATGATTTTTTTTATCCTGATTAAATTCTTCATATATACATGACAAATAAATTATTTCATGTCATTTTAGAATAGAACTGGCTGAATTTGAATATATTCATAATGTAAGTATGAACATAAATCAACCCCTTCGGGCAATATTTATTGTTTCACTGTTGAATGAAAATGAAATGTGTTGCATAGACTGTGAGAGATACCACCTATTATATGAATCGTTAGTATATTTTACGTCAGTAATTTCTTGGCCCATTCTCATGTTAACTTCGTTTGTTTGCAGCTTAAGAAATTTTCAATAACTGTATATTCTACCCGTTCTGCTTCCTAGGGATACGTGGAAGTGTTGCATTTTCCACTGAAGCTAGACGTTGAAAACACAAAACAGTAAAGCTGTTCGGCTTACTCCATCTATCATATGACCAGTGCTCACAGAACTTCCTGTCAGCATTGTATATATCTTGCTGCCTCCGTGTATACCAGTCGGGTTCAGTAGCTACGGATAACTTTGAGAACATATCTGAATGCCCTGCAGAATTCCATTTGTTCCATCCGCCCTTTGACAGCAGTTAGTAAAAGAAACATATTGCTCTTACTTGCAACAGCTCTGCTCCTGAAAAGTGATAAACTGGTATTCGTTCTAAGCAAGGTTGCCTGGAAGTGAAATTATCGAGTGTTTCATTATGTCTCACCATTCTCTTTCTATTTCATGTAAGGGTGGTAAATATCTCAGTGATGTCCAACTTGTACCGCTCTGTCGATTATTGATAACTATACTTTTAGAGTTTACATTGAATTATTGATATACCTGCGTGCTTTGACAGATCTGACGATAAAACAAACATTAATCCCCAGTGAATTTATTTCCAACTGAAAAGCAAAGTAACAACAAGAATAACTTGTTTCACTTTAGCCTGGAGGTTTCTGATTTTAAACAATAAAAAATCATTCATAGAAGTCAAGATATAAATAAAGACGAAACTTCATGAGACAGTGACACACCTTCCCGATTGTATGTCGATGCATTACATTCTTTGGAGACCACCAGAAAAGGAGAAATTTGTAGTCGCAGGAATTATGAAAAAAACACTTGGTTTAGGAAACTAATCATATATATATATATATATATATATATATATATATATATATATATATATATATGCCTTGACCACAGAGTTAAATCTGATAAGCATCCATATTATGTATATGGGTAGTTATATAGAACATAAACAATGACACAAGCAGTAACATACCTTGAGATTACAGCACATCAGATAAGCTTGTCTCCAACTCAGCATGTGTGTGTATGTGAGATTCGGAGTGCAGTCCAAATGACCAGTGGAGATGAACTGAGACAGTTGTACGTTCTTTCATTTTCTCCCGTACAACACACACGTATGAATCATTAAACTGCTTTGGAATGAGAGATTTAACGAATCCACGGCTTCTTGAACAGTTTGCATTGATCAAATAAGTGGTCACAAGCGCGAGACAGGTGAAGGGCGCTGGGGTAAAGAAGTTGAACCAATGAACGACTTATACTAGATGGTATTACTGACAGATTGTCTGAGAAAAAAGGCAAACCCTCATTCCGAAAAAGCTCTTCTCCATGTTGACACTACTACTTAGCGATCAGTCCGTGTGACATGAACTTCGGAGTGTGCAAGGTTCACAATGATAAATCGAAGGGAAACCTTCACATACCTGCTCCCACTCAGAATAGAAATGTTTTCGTAAATTCCTTTCCAAGCTTTCCTCAAACACTGGTATAGAACGATATCCAAGGCAATAAATGAGGCGCTTTGCAAACAACCTATCGTACTCTAATTTTGGACGCACTACACTGCTTTCTTTGGGGATGCCTATCTCCATGTGACGGTTGTACCTTGAAGCGCGGAAGAAGGGCCTAACTTTTGTGACTGGGCTGACAACCAAAGAGTAATCACCTTCTGTACTATCCAGAACTGTAGACCATTAATCTTGTGAGGCGCTTGATTCTGGACTAACTGATCGTGCATCGGAATCTTACCAGAGTTTTACATCCATCTGGTATCTATTATTTGCCACTGCACAATAGTGTTAACTTACAGACTAGCGCACAAATGTCCATGTTGTTGCTCTCTAGCTTTTGAGTTTAACCCATATACTGCTGACTATAGGCACGGGGTGACAACGATATTCCGAAGTAAGCAGTGCTGATTACTGGCGAGAATATTATAACTTGATTTTGTTAACTTTCACTCAACAAAAGCTATTAAACCGATATATTCTCAGGGTATAATTATCAAGGTCGTAAAGTAAAATAGTTCACTAGTTACTAACCACTCCTAAGCTCAGATAAAGAGGGAAGGTGGGGCATGGGGCTAACACCCCACCCCAGAAAACTAATCCAACCGCTAAACAAAATTCAAAGCACAAAGAAAACATAGAGAATAAAAATAAACTTATTCCTCACTGGAATCGGGGAGACAAAATAAGCCCGGTCGCTGAAAGACTTCAGGAAGCCGATTCGCCAATGTGTCTTCTCTTCTATCGATGAGAGCAAAAGTAAATATACGGACATAGAATGTCCACACAATGTTTGAAGCTGCCTGGAAAGGCTGTCCAGATTGCAAAAGACATGAGAGGATAATAGCATAGAAGTGCTAGGCTAGCAATCTGCGAAACCAGATGGAATGGAAGTGGACTCTCCTAACTGTCAACTGGAGAGTCAGTGATCTACTCCGACATTGTCATCCAGACGACAACCACGAGCACAGCACACTGAGTTTTCCAGTGGCTATCATGATGTCCACAACACCACCGAAGGCTCTCTCTCTCTCTCATGCTGTGGGAACCAATCTCCTCAACCATCACCATCATGACAATAAGATTCAACTCAAAACGAAGGAAAGTCACAATCATACAATGCTACGCTACCATACCACACCATACCATACCCTACCCTACTCACCTACAAATAATGCGGATCAAGAGAAGAAGGAGGAATTCTACAGACAACTCCAATCAGCAATAGACAAGACCACAACCCACTCCAGATGGCGACGTCGAAATTCATTCTAATCGGTGGGGTGACATGAATGCCAAACTGGGAGCGGACAACACAGGAAGAGAAGCAACCATGGGTCGAGAAGCGCTTGGTGAAATGATGAGTGATAATGGAGAACGAACTGTTTGCAGACTTCTGAGCATTTAGTGATTTGGTGATTGGAGGCGAGGTAGTGTGTACAAACACAAGGATATTCACAAGGCAGCGAGTGACATGTATTTCACTAGACACCAGAACACACTACACTAAAAATCAGATCAACTTCATCTCAATGTGAAGAAAGTGGAGACGCAGCCAGCATACTGGACACAAGATCAGATCAAGAAGAGGAGCAGATGTAGGTGGTTCACACCACTCACTATCTATCTAGTGCAAGGAACCTACCTTCAAATCCAAGTTGGAAACCAAAATCAAAGACGTTGGTGATAGACCACAGTTCAAGTTGAACAATCACCCAGAACAAAAGATGAACTGAAGGACGAAACTACAAAGGACATCTTCACGTCAGCCAGTCATCAGGAAAAAATGGGAGACATTAAGCAGTATCCCAGAGAAACCTGCGTGGAAGCACACTGGAACTCTGTGGAAGCGATGTGGAAGGAAACCTGCATAACCGTGTTAGGAAGGAAGATGAAGCAAGACAAGGAATGGATCTCGACGGATACATGGAAGCTGATAGAGTAGGGAGAGGAAGATGGTGATGGTGAAGCAGAAGATGGCCCAGTGCAGTGCAGTGCAGTGTAGTGCAGCACAGGGATGAACAACAAAAAGAGGAACTGAGTACAACCTTTAAAGCACTGGACAAGGAAGTGAAGAAGAGTGAACGGAAAGACAAAAGACACTTCTACGATACACTTGCAAGTGAAGCAGAACAGACAGCAGGTAGGAGGGACAGAGACCTGAAAACATCACATCAAATAACCAGCTTACTATCTGCGAGATGAGAGATCAACACAGATGAAACCAATGAAAGATAGTGAAGGAAACCTAGTTACCATCAAAGAGGAGAAACAAAGGAAACGATGGCCTGACCACTTCGAAATGCTCTTCAATCGACCACCACCTGCACTTTATCCAGAAGTAGGACCTACCGCCGCTGAAGTACAAGTGAACATAAATCCTCCAACAAAAGTCGAAGTCCTGAATGCCATAAAGCTACTGAAATATGGGAAGCAGCAGCACCAGATGGGATCCCGCCAGGATCACTGAAAACAGACTCACAGACAACAGTGCACACACTCACACCACTGTTGCACAAGGTTCGACAGGAAGGAAGGAAGGAAGGGAAGGTACCTGGCGATTGAAAGAAGGGCTACCCTGTCAAACTCCCGAAGAAGGGAGACCTCAGTGTTTGCAAGAACTGGCGTGGAATCACTCTCCTGTCCACCCCAAGCACAATCTTAAGCCGCATGATCCTTTAGAGACTAAAGGATGCCCTGGATTCCAAACTACGACCCGAATAGGCAGACTTCAGGAAGTGCAAATCATGTGCCGACCAAATTGCAAATGCTACGCTACACATCATCATAGAACAGAGTATAGAACTGCAGTCAACTGGATCTTCACCTCAACTTCATCGACTTTGAGAAGGCCTTTGACAGCGTCGACCGAGAGGTAATTTGGAAACTGCTTCAATACTGCGGAATACCACAAACCTTTATCCGCCTCATTCAACAACTATATGAAGACGCCACATGCCAAGTAATTCACAATGGAAAGCTCAGTGATGCTTTTGTAGTGAAGTGAAGACAGGAGTGAAACAAGGTTGCCCCCTACTATCCCCCATGATATTCCTGATTGTGGTCGACTGGATCATGCAGCAAACAGTGGGGAGCGAGAAGAGGGGGATACCCTAGCTAGACTGCGGAAAAGAACCTAGAAGACTTGGATTTCGCCGATGACTTGTGCCTGATGTCACACAAACTTGAAGATCTACAGGCGAAAACTAACAAGTTGACAGAAGAGGCAGCGAAGACGGGACTTCAAGTGAATATAGAGAAGACAGAGGTGAGGAAGATACCGCACCACCACCAACAACAACAACAACAAACTCCAGTCACCATCAATGGGAGAAACTTAAAGGAAGTAACCCCCCTCACCTATCTAGGAAGCACTGTTTCAACTACAGGTGGTGGCACAGACGAGGACGTCAAAGCCAGGCAGGATCGGAAAATCAAGACAGACGTTCATTAGCCTGAAACCGGTGTGGAGATCTTCTGCACTCATCATGCGGAACAAGATCCGGATTTTCAACACTAAGTGGGTCAAGTCAGTGCTTCTGTATGGTTCAGAGACTTGGCGCGTCACGAAAGGCATTTCCAATAAACTACAGACATTCATCAACAACTGCTTACGCTCGCTACTGAAGATCAGATGGATTGCCAGAAAGAATAAGCAACAAGGAACTCTGGGAACGAACCAATCAAGAACCTATTACCCAACAAATATGCAGGAAGAAGTGGAGATGGATTGGCCATGCACTGAGAAGGCCGACTGGGGACATCACGCGCCAGGCCCTCGAGTGGAATCCCCATGGGAAGCAACGAGTTGGACGTCCGAGGGTGACACGAAGGAGATCGTGCGAGGAGGAAATGAGAGCTTCTGGGCTGTCGTGGAAAGAGGTTCAAAAGATGGTGGAGAACTGAGTGCACTGGAGACGTGCTACTGAAGCCCTATGTTCCATTAGGAACCCAAGGGACAAATAATAATAATAAATGTTCGAAATGCACTCCAGTGGTAGGATTAAGAAAACAAAACTTATTTTATAAAAGTGCAAACTGCAGGTTACTTTTTATCTGTGTTAAAGAAGTAAGAACAACTA